CTCCGGCAGGAACCTAAGTGGTGCACACCTTGATTTTGGACTTCCAGCCACTAGAGCTGTGAGAGAGAAATGTCTGTTTAAGCCTCCTGGTCAGTGGCATTTTGCTATGGCATCCCGAACTAACTAAGACAAACAGCACTTATAGGCACCTACTCTATACCTAGTACTTTGTTTTGGCCACTCTTTCTCTGAAAAGGGAAACGATGGGGCAAATGTCTACAAATGGACAAGTCTAACTTCTACATTCCCTGTTCCCAGAGGGACTGGTCTCTGTGGCTTTTCCTGTCAAGCACAGCTTCCTGGGTAGGCGGCTGTTCCAGGAGAAAGGGCGACCCTACCTTGCACTAGGAGAACGGAGCCGCCAATCCCCCCAGCCCCTGAGGCCTGTGGGCTCCTCACTCTCCCGTGGTGCTGAGCGCCTCTGTAGACCCCCAGCCAGGTGACACCGGAGTCTGCGGTGCTCTGTGAAACGCTGCTCACCGCACTGGCACGGGCAAAGCTCTGAGCTGTCACGCACTAGAGTCCTTTCCAACTTGGAGTCATCCAAGGTTTCTCAGACAATTTGACCACAGGACCGTTGCTTTTTGAATCATGCCTATTAGATGTCAGCAATCAAAGGGCTGTGCTCCAGACCTGGCTCCACTGATGCCAACAAAGGCTCTGTCCTCTCTGGCGGCTCAGCTTCACCTGCCAACACCGACGCCTGCTGCCCCGAAGGAGGAAGCTTCCCCCTGAAAGAAACACTTGTGTGTTTTTCCCTTTGTCTTTTGTTGTTGTTGTTGTTTACACTTGTGTGTGTGTTTTTTTTTAAGCCAAACAGAGGTGATTCTAGAATTATAAGGCAGTTATGGTGAGGCCAAAATATAGTATCTAAAAAAGGCTGGAATGGTCTACTGGTGGGAGACACTGTGAAGGACACAATAGTTGGAAGGAAATAATAGAGAAATAAAAGTCTGTAAAAGGGAGGGAAGTGGGGAATGGTTTAATGGGTACAGAGTTTCAGTTTTGTAAGATCTGAACAACAATGTGACTATTTAAAACACTACTGAACTGGACACTTAAAATGATTAAGATGATACATTTTATGTGTTTTATTTTTTATACCACAATTTTAAAAAAGTCTGAGAAAGGTAAGGGAGGAAGGAAGGGAAAAGGGAGCATAAATATCTGGAAAGTGCATAAGAGTATTGTAATAGATCCGGCATATAACTCATAGCAAGAGCTCGCTTGCTGTCATTTGTCTTTTCTCCGTCTGTCCCCCTTTTTACTTATTATTTTGATCTGCAGAACCTGCTGGAAGACTGGACAAAACTAAGGTGTCCGGATAGCAGTGAGGGCACTGTCATTTTGGCCCCTCCTTTTTCAGGAGACGGAGGGCTGCTTGCTTTTCTCGTTAGTCCTTAAGACTCTCACGTAGCTTGAGTTCTTGATTCCTCCAATGCTAAGTCACTGATTTAAGCCCAAGGTTAATGGAGAGGGAAAGAGTTAATTCATTGAT